TGCTGGGATTCGAACCCGGGACCTTGAGCACCGGAAGCTTATTGCCCTACCGCTGAGCTACCCCGCTGCCTTATGAATCAGAATAAGGAACAAAAATGTACCCAATGGGAGCCCTGATGGCAAAAATTTCGGAGCTTTTAAAAAAAAAAAGTCTAAAGCTTATTGAGAGGAACAGTTAAAGTCTACAACTTAGAGGCCATAAATTTAACATTATGTTTTTAAATTTGTTCTATTATTTTATAAAGCTTTTTATTTATAACTTTTCATAATATTTAAGTGAAAATGTTTTAATTGTAATGCTCCACATGGTAAAAATGGTATTAAATAATGGCCAATTTAATATCTAGAGCTGTACGAAGCCACTTAGCCAGTTTATCGCTTAATCTACCACTGCCCTGTATTGTTTATTTAACGACTGTAGCCCTTAAAATCGTAAAGAGGGAAATAAATTTTTCAAAATATATCGAAATAAAGAAATATAATATATATTTTAATTTTCCTTAAAAACTTGTTCTTTACATTTTTTTTTTTCATATTTTCTGAATACAATTTAAGAGAAAGGTTTTCTGACCTACTTAGCAGCCGTTTGTTGTTGATATTCCGTATTGATCCATCGCTTGCATGAAAATAGTGTTGCGATCCACAACTCATTCATATCTTTATCAATTTAGTTTTCAGTGTTAACGGCATATAATCCATAACGTCGGTAAATTACAAAAAAAAAAAACATCACTAACAAGAGGACTTTACAGTCAGTGGGTCACGAATTTTTAACATTTTAATACTACATTTAAAAATATTAGACAGGTGATTCGGCGTTCTTCCAATTTATACTTATATATCAGTCGATTTCGTTTTTTCTCTGCAGAGTAAGAAAAAAAATATTGGATAAAAAAGTATTACATGAGTTATAAATTGCAAATCTTAGTACTTGATTTTCTAGGAGCACTTTATTTTTTAATAATTAAAACATTCATAACTTCTAAGTATTTTGTCCAGATTCAACATTAGTACAGACGTTCGAAAGCGAATAAATTATTTTTCGATGTATTGGGTTGGCAAATATGTCCTTTCGGTTTTTCAGGATGAAATAAAACTCAATGGACTATAGACATAAGATTTATTTTAATCTGCAGGATATTGATCATTATTTAATATAACTTTTTCCCATCTTTCCACTAACTGCATAATGCACTATAGAATTCTAGAGTTTATAGTTAAATACTGATATAAGTGGTTTTTTATATCCTCTTCCTCTTGGAATTTCTTTCCATTCATGAAATTCTGCAGAAACCGGAATAAGTGGTAGTCACTTCGAACTAGGTCTTGTGAATAGGGAGGGTGGGGCAAAAGGTCCCATCCAAGGATTTATAATTTATTGCGAGTGACCAATGAAGTGTGGGGCCTAGCGCTATCTTGGTGGAACACAACACTCTTCCGATCATTCATAACTCTTCAGGATGCTCTCTAAATTCACTGAATTTAAAATTTCGCTGAAAACCAAAGAAAGCTGAATTATTGCTCTTCCAAGCGGTATTTATGTTTTGTTTTTTTAAATCAATGCCTGCATAAGGAATAAATAAACAAAAACTCCTTTTAGGTTTTTATAAACATTTGCAGTTTGTTTGCGAAGGTTCTGTTGATGTCATTTTGTGTAGTTTATGTGGTCCTAAATTTCTTGTAGATAGCTAAAGTCGTATTGAAGTTACAACATTTTAGTGATTTTCGAAAAAAAAATCATATGGGGACCCAAACATTACGCCTGATAACATAACCGAGCATGTACAAATGATTTTCTAGCATTGCTCGTTTCAATTTCATGTGGGCGACCAGACCGTTGAGCATCATTGATGTCAAAATTTCCTGAATGAAATTTGGCAAACCAATTTTGCCAGGTGCGTTCCGTTAAGACATCATCCCCATAAACACTGCAAATTTTTCGATGAACTTCTGCAGCACGCTTACCGTTTTTTAATACAATTGAACAAAATATAACGATGATGAACATGATATTTTCTTCCATATTCACAGTGCCATAGCAAACACAATACTAAGCTAGTTCCAACGAGAATTAATAGATATAGTTGTTGACATATTACAAACAGGATAAACAATCAACCTTACGGATTAATTCATCAGATAAGAAGTTGTATCATAGTGACATAAAAATAAACAGTAAAACCTAAAGGACTTATTTGCCAAACCAATAGGATCACTGCGAACAAATTTGGTTGAAATCGGTGACCAACTGACTATAAAGTCCTCTTGTAAGTATAATTTTTATGGAAATAGTTTTTAAGAGCGGTTTTGTAAATCCGACTGTATTTGTCGATAAAAAACAAGGTGAGTGCCCTAAAGTGACACACACTCTTATATAGGTTTTATGTGCCAAATATTTTTTTTCAATATTCTTAGTTGAGTTATGACATTTATTCTTAGATTTAAGGTTATGTAATGTCACTTAATGATTTTTTGCGATATCACCTTGTCATCATAGATCTCAGAAGATAAGACCCTCCATTCAGTCAATTCTGTGAAAATAACTAAATATTCATGTCATCGAGACAATCCCTTAATTAAAAACGTTAAAAATTTCTGATCTAAAACGTTTTACATTAAATAGTAATATGATTACTATTTAAATATTGATTTTATGCATAGCCTGTAAAACTAAGAATTTTTTTTTACACATATAAGCGACTAACAAGGACGAATTAAACAGACCAACAGTTACGTCAGGAAATAATGATCCAATATTATAATATCATTATTGTATCCAATATTATTAAATGAGTACATGTAGTTTCTAGTTTATTAGGCGTGGGATTCAACATCACTTATCACATGTACATCCCACAGGCGGATCTACGGGAGGGGAGAAAGAGGGGGAGGGGGAGGAGTTTTCGGGCCGAAGTTCCTCCAAAATGGTAAAATATATCCACGCCTTATGAATAAAATATTAAAAATTATCTCTAAAAGCATTATTGTTTGTATAAATACTTAAACACCATTTGGTACAGATGGTTAGTTTCTTTCTTTTTCTTTTAAAGTGATATATATTATTTTTTATATTTTTATATTATATATATGAAACCGTTAACTCTAGAGGTAACAATATATTTTAAATATTTTAATGCTAACATACAAAGTAAGCATATTTATACATCTCATACTATATATACAGAAAATATAAAATTAACAAAAGTAAAATAATAACCAAAAACTATGTACAATAAAAAAAACATAACATAAAGATAAGTAAATACCTATATATAATATATACAATTAGGCAGGGAACCCCAAGCCAGGCTTCTCCCTCCAACTGTAGAAGGAAAAGCAGAACTACAAGAGATCCCTGCGCTACTCTCTCAACCGCGTCACTGGTGCTAAAGCCAGCGGAGTTTGAGCGAGAGCGCTTTAGCCACATACACTCATCTCTTGACTAGAGTATCTGGTCATTGCCAGAACTCCAAGATATATACTACAAAAGATCTCTGGGCCACTGCCGCTTCAACCTTCGATGAGGATTGTAGGGATGAATGGAACTAGAAAGGGATTGTGCTAGGGGATTTGGATGATTTATAAGGCTCTGATGGAATTTGGAAATTTTTTTAGGGATAAGGTAGAGGACAAATGGGATATTAAGGTGATGATGAAGGGTTTTGTTGGTTAACATCGCGGATTTTGGACTGAAAGCATTGGATCCGTTTGATGTTAGAAAGTTTTGCTGCCCTCCAAGGTTCAAGTCCGTAGGTCTAATCACAAATATTAAAAATTTTAATGATTATTAACACGAATTATGATATGTTTTTATTAGTCCATGGTACAAACCCCTTTTTTATCAAATTATTAACATCCGCCTGAAACTTCGTGAATAACTTCATCTCATCACAACCTGCAACTATTTTATTTACGAAAACTCTTGAAATTGGGGCGTTTCAATCTGGAGATCGGCAACATTTTTCTATTTAATTCGCTGCTAAAAACCCTTAAATACCCATTTACTTTTCATTTGGGTTGTAAGATAATTTGATTACAAAATCAAGAAAAATGGTAGCTTATAAAAATATTGGGCCGTTTGGCAAATATAACCTCGTTATTTTGACATGTTGGGGGTATAGGTCACGCCAAACGGTCCAATATTTTTGAAGGCCACAATTTTACGAGATTTTGTGCTCAAATTATCTTTGCGGGGTATTTACGAGTTATTACCTAATTAGTATTACGTTTTAGTACCTAATTAGATAGACAAAGTTTGCCGATCTCTAGATTGAAAACGCCCCAATTTCGAGAATTTTGGTAAATAAAATATTTGCAGGTTGCGATGAGATGAAACTATTTACGAAGTTTTAGGCGGATGTTAATAATTTGATAAAAAACGAGGTCTGTATATGCTTCTATATGCTTCTATATGCTTCTAAGATTCAAATTTCCGATTCGGAAATGTTCCAGTGTTTCATTAGGTAACTATTTAAAAAGTAATGAATTGTTACTTAGGGAATTTATTAATTTGATTTATTTCGATCATAAAATGTCTAATGGTCTCTTCGTGAACACGACTTCTTTCGCTGATTTATATATACATTTATTATTCTGATAAATGATAAATTCGCCTTATTTAAGACAATCATTCAAAGATAAGCCAGGATGTGTAAGAATATGATTCAAAAGTAATAGCCCAGGGTATTGTTGAAGGTTTTACATATTACATAACAAAATTTATAAATTGATCCATGCATCAGATGAAAGCGATGCTGAATGCATATTTAAATTAAATATGCAGATGGAATTGATTTTAGAGAAGAGATAAAATATTCAGCTAAAAGCGATGAGTGTTGGTTACTATATTCCTTATCTTTCCACTATCAACAGTAATGTCCACAAGTCTTATTGTTATCTGAGCTGCTGTCATCCTTACAAGCAGGTCTTTATGTAAACCGAACGGCCATTCGTTCTTTAGGATCCACGAACTGAAGAATTTAAAAATAAGGTATTCACGCCTAGACATTATAGATTTCTATTCTCAATCCATTAATCCTCCTCAGGTTGCCATTACCGTTGTGTGATTTCTGAACATACTTCGGATTTTGCACTATACATGAAGAACTAACTGCGTTCGTTCCAGAGCAAAGTTCGACCAACTCTGACTCGTGAGCTGCAAATGACTCTTTGGTTCCATGAGTGGCTCTTCCAGTGAGCGCTGCACCGTGCACCTCTTTTACTGTTGATAACAAGTAACGACAGTTCTCATGAACTATTGAAAAATAAGTTTTCTTCACAAAACGAACGAATAAAATGAGTAATAGAATAACATCCTATTAATTTTCGTTTAGGGCTCTTTAGGGGATTTTTAAAAGTAAAAATCAGTGTTTTGACTAGAACGAAAAGGTTCCTGAATTTATTCGAGTTGGAAACTTTTCTTTCTGTTTATTAATATCATTCAATATGTTTTTTAAAAGTTATTTTGCTATTATGTATCAGTAAATTATTATTCGCATACATTGTGTTAGAAAAAATGATCATTTTCCGAACAAAGTTTGAAATAAATATTCAGAATGACTAGTATTATTTTCTTATTTGAAATAGTTAAATATCTAAAATAATTCATAAAGAAACTGATTTAATTTTTTCATTATGGGAGTGATATAAACAAACTAAAAAAAAAAAAATAAACTGCAACGCCGAATGTGGCGAACGAGATATTAAGACAAAAATAACTGTTTTTATTCTTTTCAGAAAGATTTCTAGAGATGGTATTCATACTTACATAGAAAGGAACGATGAAAGGAAGTTGGTGATATATGCAAGTATAAAAGACGAGTAGGAGTGGTCGACCTAATGATTTGAGGACTTTTCAGCAGAAGCTAGCTTAGGAGTACCTTGCTTAAATAATTAGAATACACTCAACTATACAGTTTAACTTTCAACAAAAAAATTTAATCTCAAACCAAATTTAAATCTTTTAATGTGGATATTTGGCTTTTTTGGCTGTTCTAAGGTTTCTCGTTGGAGCCATTTCTTGCAAATTCACGCTGATTTAAAATGTTCTACATCAATCTCTCAACCCTTCCCTTTATATATACATTCCCCTTACTCTTCAATCTTCGATCTCCTTCTTGTAACAATCTTTCTTAGATAACCATCTTGAAGATTCAACGCTGAAGTCGACATAAACGTAAAACCATGTTCTATCAACTTTTCTTACGTGACATCCTCAACCAACTTCTCTCCTCCATCTATCTTTAGTATTCTAAGCACCCTTATTTTCAAGTCCAATCAAATAGGAGAAAAAAAAATGGCCTCCCATGATAACCTATCTTATTAGTTTTTCACGATTTTATTGGAAAACAGTTAAAAATTAATAAAATCTCATAGTTATGGCCGAATCAATACCGAACTTATTTAGAGTACCCCAGAAGAATTTTAAGCCTCTGAGCTGTCGGTTAAGAGGCTTTCGTTCAAATTAAAAAGATAAATAAATCATGACTATGAAGTCGGTACAACCGTGACCGAAACAAGGTTTTAGTCGTGGACTAACTGATTTATTTAAACCTTAACTGTAGAATTACTTGTTTACTATCTTATGCACCAAGTCCTTCAATTGGTAGATGTGATACATTTATTTTCCGCCTTTGGTGCGAACTGTTTTTGTTATTTTAATTTGGGCAACACTATTCGATTTTGTTTATGAACAATTTATTTATTTATTATGTAAGAGAGTAATACTCTTACATCACAAATGAATGAATGCGAGACCTTCAAGTAAAAGTTTATGGAGTGATTTTATTTTAGGGAAGGTGGGGGGGGGGAAGCTTTCTTTTGGTAAAGTAACAATAAAGCTTTTAAAGATAAATTTCTTATATTTTTTCTTGATACGAATTCACATTAAGTAGCTTTATGTATATATATATTTATACATTATTATTATTATTATATATATATTTACTGCAATTTAAAACGATAATAGATTGTGATAGTTTATTTATTTAGCTTAGACTAGGTGATGTACTCGTCGTTGACGGGTGAATAGTTAAAATTTGAGAATATTTTTTTGATATGAATTTTGTATTATGGGGGAGGGGAGGGGTTCAAATTTAATTTCATAAAATTTGGTGGGGTGGTTGTTTTGAATCAATCTCAAACTAAAAAGGTCTATTGCTGAGGAGCAGCATAAAGAAGTGAGGAGCCTTTCAACCTAACTTTCCTTTTAAGTTTGGCTGCTTTGGAAATTGGACATTTTTAAAGGCGTTTTTATCAATCCGTAGAAAATATTTTAAAACCAAATTTAAAACCCACAAAATTTGGTTCAATAAAAAGCTGCTGGTACTTAATCTTTTTGGGAGTTTTTTTTTTTCGATTTCGTCTAATCCATTTGGTTGATCCTAAAAATTTATACGTCAGCATTTGTTAGGCTCGAGAAGTTGAATCGAATGACATCTTGAACGGGAAGATTGGACAAAGTTGAAAACTGAGTGTTTTTTATCCGTGTTTTAAGCGACAGCTGATGTTTAGGATTTCGGATTTTCCCCTTTCAGTTGTGACAATTTTTCCATCAGTTGAATAGTATAAGTTTTAAATGTGGCACGCGGTGGAGTAGGTTTGGATGAGAATCGAAGTAAGTAACTGCCTAACCGGGATCTCTAGACAAATTATTCAAGAATTCATAACTTTGGTTCTGCTCAATATTTTGTTTTCATTCAAAGCCTATGTTTTAAGTCAAGTAAACCTAAATATAATATCAAAATTTCAAAAGTCTACCATTAGCTACTGCTGTGCTTACCCCTGACAAAATTTCGATTGACGATGCGGACATATAGACAGACAAAATGTTTATTAAAGGTGGATTCGGTGTTTGTAATGTATGAAACGGAAAGATATCATGAAACGCGTTGATTCTAGCCAATTTACAGACAAAACCTTTATTTTATTTATATAGATAACTCACATGGAATATGGTTTTATAAATATAGAACAATGAAAAAAATAAATTATTTTTCCATTTTGGAAGGGGTTTCAGCCCGCAAGCATCCCCTTGTAAATGATCTGTCATAAACATATTTAGAAATCTTATAAATTCATAAAGTATGACGTACTTATCAATAAATATTTCAAGATATGCCCATTAAAATTGTCGGTGCAATACCCTTTTCATGAAATCTATCCAATAAATAAATACAATTTTTAAATAAGTGAAAAAAAAGTCTTTGACATTGAAATTACCATTGACGAAACATATTGGGAAGCCCTGGGTTTGGTCTGTTATTTATTGAGACATTTACATATATATATAAGTTGTGAAACGTGATATACTATTATATATGTCCAGATAATCATGTGACATGAATATCTAAGTATGAGTTTTAATAATCAGTTGCGTTTCTGATTGCATCACAAGTTTACTTTTAAATCAACTTTTCTTATTAATGTACATTTTGAAAGACTATAACTATAAATATAAATATAAATACTATTTATATTGATTATATTCAATCCATTGGTATATCCTTAACATCTAATAGATATTTTTACAATTATGCATGGGATCAGCTATTTACATATATATGCATTTATAGAAATAGAAATAGAAATAGAAATAGAAAAATAACTTTATTCTGGGACACAGTCCCTTGAGAATAACAAATTAGAACAAAATTAAAATATTACATCTGGCCAAAACAAAATAAATCGAAAAAAAGAAATAATGTAAAAAAAATATAAGGTAAAAACTCTATATACAAAACAAACTAAACTATATACAAAACCATTAATACTATTACAAGAAACTTAAAGCTATTTAGACCAGTATACACTTTTCCGAAAAAAATAAAGAATTAAAAAATAAAAATATATCAAATTCTCTATTAAAATCCGCTCGAATGGTTAGCAAGTATCTGACTGTTTTTGTGATAGGAATTGGAATAGGAGGGATTTGAATGTGGATATGGAGGGGGAATGTCGAATTTTGATAGGGAGGGAATTCCAGAAATTGACAGAGCGAACAATAAAGGAATTTTGGAATGAGGCAGATCTGTGAGAAGGCATGTAAAGGTCAGAAGGTCGAGATCTTGTGAACAGGGAATGGACTGAGGTTTTGAACTGGAGAAGGTTGTAGGCGTAAGAAGGACGATGGTTGTTGATGATTTGGTAGAGGAACGTACCTAGAAAGTATTGTCTTCGGAAGGAGGGGTAGAGCCACCTTAACTCAGTGTAGTGGTGAGAATTATATACGTGTTATTTCATTCATTTATACATATATATACGTGTGTGTATATATATATATATATATATATATATATATATATATATATATATATATATATATAATTTATTTTATGCAATCAAAATAAAATGCTGGATACGCATCAGTTCTATTCCAGGAGTCCCTAATCCAGTGGCCGCGGACATTGGTTTTCCCGTATGACGTCATATGTTCCCCCGACGTATATTTTTTTCCGGCCTGATTATTATCTAATAAACAGTTAACCTTAATTTAATATTTTTTTTCTTTAATAGTTCTATTATTTTTTCTATTCTAACCGATTTTCTAATATAAACTATAGTCATTTGTTTATATCACAACATTTTAACAATATTGTCTTGTCAATATTCATATTTTTTTTCGCTAAACTAATTACTAAATGACAGTTATGAACATATTGCGTTGCGCATTCTTTCATTTTTTCAGATTTATACGTCAGCTCTGAATTTATTCTTCCAAATTAGTTTATAAATGTAATCTGAAAATGCTTGATTAAATTATAACATTATAATATTCATCAAACAATAAATGATGGCCGATGCAATCAACAGTGCAACGATCACTTCAACTTTAGCGTTTATATTTATTTATAAAGACATTCTATATCTTGATTCAGTTTTAATGTAATAACAAATAATTATTTTTTATATAATAATATAAACTATGCTTTTTATATGTTAAAATTGTTATTATTTTTTTTTATTTTTAACAATATTCAACAACGAAAAACTAAGAAAAGTATAAGTAAATTGGTGCTCATCCCTTGGACTAATAATTATTAGTTCCTATAAAAAGGTACATATATAGGTTATTATTATTAATTTGCTCTACTGTCCTTAATTGACCTGGGCGTCAGAAAAACTTGATTAAAAATAACTAGTTATAATTCTATGAGTTTATTATATAATAATAAATATTACTGCATATAATAAATTAGTTATAAGTTTTAATTAAATTAGTTAAGATTTTAAGTATTATATCAAATACGGACATTCCTCATTTAAAAAAAAAAAAGTGAGAAAAAGCCAATTTTCCAATAACATGGCTTCAATTTAAACCAATTCTAATGGTTTTTTTCATGATTAAATTTGAAGAACCTTTTAATAAAATCATCAGAAACAGTTTGAGTTGAACCTATAAAACAAAAATTGATTTTTTTCTCCACTTTCTAAAAATGACAGATGTCCGTCTTCGATATGAAGCCAATCATTTGGTTTTACAAAAACGTTTAATTTTGTTCCATTTGAGAATAAGCGTTTATAATTTTGTGTGTTTCTCCAATCAACTGATTTTATTTATTCAGATGTATGAAATGTTGCATCACGACCGCAAGTGAGAATTGCGTCATGATATTAGCTAATTTGTTGTGTTTTTCCAACATAACGCATATATCACCGAATAAAACGAAAATTGACTCCATGAAATTTCTCTGTAGAAAAAAAAATGATAACAGTTTCTAACAAAGCAGAGAAAAAGACTGAATTATTTTCCCAGTGATACAGGAAACAGATGGGCTTTACTGCTGACGTAAGATGACGTCAATTTTTTTTCCATCCGAGATAGTTTTTGTCAAGGGATTTTTTATAATATAAATGTGAAGTTTATTTATAGATCTCACATAAACGTTCTCACATTCACTTTTATAGATCTACATACATAACACGTTAAAGAAATAAAGAATACTTTGTTGTTTTAATATTGGCATTAGTTTCTTCATTTCATCAATTATTTGATGTTTATGTATTTGGCTTGATGGTTATATATGTGATCTGTCCTGAACCTTCAACTGCCGGATTTCTCGCCAGATCAAGGGTACTCTCATTATACAGGATGAGAGTGTCGCGGGAGAGTCTTCTGGATGAAATAACAAAATAAACAATTATCTCTATTAGCTGTACTGAAACCTGAGTCTTTTGAATTTATTGACATGCTCACTAAAATTTATACGGAGAA